TGGTAGTGGTGGTGGTGGTGGTGCTGCTGCTGCTGCTGCTGCTGACGGTAAAACTCCAGCTGGGCAGTCAATTACGGCATGTCGATTTGGACACGTGACGTCGTCATCGTCGTCATCAACGTCTATGACCATCATCATCATCAACAACAACAACATCCTCCTTTGTACATTCATCGACGACATTGCCATCCCTGGAGCATCAGCAGCTTGCACATCCAACCCAGACCCTACGCCGCAGTCAGAGCAACTTGTAATTGTAACCCTAAACTGCCCTAAACCCTAAACCAGAAGCACCCTAAACCCTAAATCCTAAACCAGAAGCAACCACACGCCCTAGCAGCCAGATAGCGGTTTAGGGTAGCCATGGGTAGCCCCAGGTTTGTACTCGGCTTCCCTACGGGACAGTAGCCTCTCTCTGAAGTCTGGGCTCTTGCTAAGGAGCTTAGTTTCAGATGCCCTAGCAAGGCAACCATAGAAATTGTATACCATAAATCCCTACTATGGCGGTATCTGCAGTTTAACTCCTCAATAGCCCTATAAATCGTAAACCCTCCCAAGACCCCCCCTCCCCCCCCCCAACTACCCTCCATTGTACCCCAAATGGGTAGTTCTCTAAATTAGGATCCCTTTTAGGGTCCTTTTTATAAGGGTGCCGTATTATTCTGGGGAGTTAAAAGGGCCTATACCTTAAACACTAATATAGGGGCCTTAACAATGAGAATAGGGTTTTGGAGTATATTTGTATATCATAAATATGATAATAGCAGTTATCATCTAATATTACTGTAGCTATTATAATATTCTTATTATTATTATAGCTACAATAAGGAACCCCCAAAAGAGCCTTGGTAATAATTTCGACTTCTACATTAACCCGCCTGCCGGCCAGGCGGATGCCCTGGAGGTTTGCTGCGACGCTGCAGGGAGCAACGCGGAGGCTATGTACCCAACAGGTGTAGGGTTTAATGTAGGGGCCTTAATAGTTTGAATAGGGTTCGGGGATATCGGGAGATATATATATATATGGGTAGTTGTCAAAATTATGGTCCCTTTTACTTTTGGGGTAGCCTAAATAATAGGTGCCGTATTATAATAAGGACCCAAAAAGGGACCCTAATTTTGACAACCACCCATATATTACTTTATAGTTATAGTAAGGAACCCCAAAGTCTTATTCTAATTATTCAGGCCCCTACATTAGGATTTAGGGTTGAACGGTATAGTAGAATGTCCAACGGCCCCGCGGGTGTAGGGTTTAGGATTTAGGTGTGAGGCTGATATATTGTGGACGCACTGGTATGTATGTAACATATTGGTATTTAGACCCTTTGGGATACCTAGCCCTGGCAAAACCTCGCTTTGGTTACTTGGCCACCGTAGTCTGTTTTTGGGGGCATCGTAGCCAAAAGCGAGTTACCCAGAAAAGGGCACTACACTTGTTCAAATTTGAGCTCCAGGCAGCGTTTAGTTTGCAATGAATTCTTTTAAAAGCTCAGGTGGGCTGTGAAAGGTCACATCCCAGATTATGGCCGTGAATCCCCAATTAGACCTAAAAGCGCTAAAGGTCACTGACATACCCCAGACATACCCCAAGATTTTATTCTCATCGCTAAGGCCACTATATGAACAAAGATTTGACAAAACCCTTGCAGAGCCCTTCGAATCCCCTGAAAGGAGCACTTTTGCAAGCCATGAGGCCCCTTTAGTGTTCATGGGGTTTTGCAGTCTGTGTGAAGGCGGAAGATCGACTGCTGGTTGTCTCGGCCTGCATGGAGCTTCTTCATAGCCTGGATCTTAAGTCCGGCATATAGGGTTCAGGGTTAAGAATTCATTGACCTAGCAACATGGCTTACTATGCATGGCTTAGCGGGGGGTTACGTGTAGGGACGTGGGGTTGTATTTGGGCGAGGGGTGTGTGTGATTTCAACGAGTTTAGGGATGTGCGGACTGGGCTTTGGTGGTGTATGCATGGATTTATTGGGAGTCTTCGTTGCAACTGCTGCTATGCAACAGATGCCTGAATGATTCTCGGCAGCACCTATAACACCCTAAGACCCGAAATCCTATCCCTCAACCCCCAACGCTAACCCTAAACCCTTAAACCCTGAACCCCTAAACACAAGCACTTCAGGCCTTTGTTCTCAGAGTGCTGCGACTTCTGCTTCAAGAGCTGTTCGCCGCAAATTAGCGGACCCAGCGACTCCAATACCCCTTAATTAAGGAATATACCTTTCAATTTTCTTAGGGATCCTACTATAATTTAAGGTATATTCCTTAGTTAAGGGGTATTGGAGTCTCTGGGGAGCACGCGGTGGGAGGCCCCTTCATCTTGCGAGCAGTGCCAGAACAGGGCCTGTCCGAGCCAGGGCCGGGCTCTGATTCTGGGAGCAAGGCGTGTCTCCTGTGTGCTAGGCCTCTGCAGAGTTTAGGGTTTTAGGTTTAGGGTTTCAGGGTTTAGGGTTTATAAGGGTTTAGAGTATGGGGTTTAGGTTTTAGGGTTTAGGGTTTAGGGTTTGCTACGTCAAGAATATGCAACATAGTCATCCGCGATGGGGCGCTGCAGGCCTTTGCGGTGTTTGGTTGGTGCCAAAAGCGAACCCGAAGCCGCCCCAGTACCCCCGAAACTGGTTTCAGCAGTGTCAGCCCTCAACCTTAAGTGCGAAACTTCTATCCAACCCCTGAACCCTAAACCCTAAACCAGGCCCTAAAAGCTCAAACCCTCAAGCCTTAACCACTAGGCCTTAAACCCTAAGCAAACCTTAAACGCTCCCCCTAACCCAAAACCCAAAACCTTAATCCCGAAACCCTTACAAACCCCTAGACCTTAAACCCTAAACCTTAAATCCCTAAACCCTAAATCCTTAAATCCTAAACCCTAAACCCTAAATCTCTCAACCTCAAGCCCTAACCCTAAACCCCAATCCTAAACCCTACCCCCTAAATCCCTCAAGCCTAAACCCTAAGCCCAAAACCCCTAAATCCTAAACCCTAACCCCAAAATCCCTGAACCATAAACCCTAAATCCCTCAACCCTACATCCCTAAACCCTCAACCCTAAATCCCTCAACCCTAAATCCCTTAGCTCTAGACCCCGCAACCCTAAATCCCTAAACCCTGTATCCCTCAACCCTAAGCCTAAAAAGCCTAACCCCTAAACCCTAGACCCAAAAACCCTAAACCCAAAAACCCTACATCCTAAACTCCAACCCCTAAATCCCTCAACCCTAAACCCCTCAACCTTAAACCCAAAAACCCTAGATGCTAAACTCTAATCCCTAGATCCCTCATCCCTAAACCCTGAATCCCTCAACCCTAAATCCAAAAACCCGAAACCCTAATCCCTAAATCCCTCAACCCAAAAACCTTAAATCCTAGACTCTACTCCCTAAACCCTAATCCCTAAGCCCAAAAACCTTAAATCCTAAACTCGAATCCCTAAAATTTAGGGATTAGACTTTAGGATTTAGGGTTTTTGGGGTTTAGGGTTGAGGGATTTAGGGCCCAAATCCCTCATCCCTAAGCCCATATATATATATATATACACAGGTATCTCCAAAGAACTACAATGGAGACTGTAGGTAACCCCTAAATCCCTCAACCTTAAACCCAAAAACCCTAAACCCTAAACCCCAAACCCCTAAAACTAAGCCCAGGCCTCTGCGCCGGCCCGAACTCCTGGGGTCCTTCGAAGCTTCTCGGTCGGCGCCCGCGGCTCAGCGATCAGCTTCCGAACGCGTCTTTGTTGAGTCTTTTTTTAAGGGTTTTAGGATTTATATGGTTGTCTTGTTTTAAGGGTTTTTGTTAGGATTGAGGGTTTTGGGTTTTAGCGTTTATGGGGTTTAGGATTAAGGGTTTTGGGTTTTTAGGGTTTATAGGGTTTAGGATTAAGGGTTTTGGGTTTTAGGGTTTATAGGGTTTGGGATTAAGGGTTTAGGGTTTAGGGTTTAGGGTTTCTTGTTGTGTGTGTGTGTGTTATCTCCGGGGTTTAGGGTTGTTGTTGCAGGGTTGTTCAGGGCTTATTGGGTTTGGGGTATAGGGTTTTTTTGAGCTGAGGGTTGGTTGGGCTTCAGTTTTTTTATAGAGGGGTTATAGGGTATTTTAGGGTTTTTGGGTTTTATAGCGTGGAGATTTTTTTAAGGCTCTGGTTTAAGGGTTCTTTCGGGTTTATGTTTTGGGGTTAGGGTTCACGTTTTTGTAAGGTTGAGGTTGTTTTTCGGGGTGGGTTGAGGTTTAGGATATAATTAGGTTTTTCGGTTTTTCTTTTGCACTGCTATCATTGCTGATAATCTTGTCGATGTTGCCATTGCCATTGTACTACAAGTAAACCCTAAACCCCAAACCCTAAACCCCAAACCCTAAACCCTAAGCCCTAAACCCTAAACCCCAGACCCTAAACCCTAAGCCTTATAAACCCTAAACC